GGTCACGATCTCAGGGTGGTGGGATGGAGCCCGGCTCAGCGTGGAGGCTGCTGCTAGAGCATCTCTCCCTCTGCCCCTTCCCCAACGTGCAGGTGCTTGCATATGTGCACCCATGCTTATTTGCTCGCTCGCTCTCTCTAATAAATAATTAGATCTTTAAAAAATAAAAAAGGCATAACACATAAGTCCACTATCTATAGATCAGCCATGAACAATTGGAATTTGAAATTAAAAAGTAATACTATAGTCCAACATAATTCACAAAATACGTGTAACACACATATGCCGGATGTAGGAAGCAAATGAAATTTTAAAATATGACCCTGTCAATTTGGATACGATTTTATTAATATTCTCAAGGTTTATCATAACAAATGTTTAACACAAATACGGTTGAAAAGACATAAATGCAGAGGCAGCAAATCAAAATTTAGGAAACTATCAGTTCAGACTTCTTGTTTGTTCCCAGAGAAAAACAACTGTTAGCTTTTCATACAGACTACCTTACTCTTTATTTTTCCTTGTCTTTTTAATAAGTAGCCAGACTTTTTAAAGTCCCTTCTTTTTTTTTTTTTTAAAGATTTTATTTATTTGTCAGAGAGAGAGGGAGAGAGAGCGAGCACAGGCAGACAGAATGGCAGGCAGAGGCAGAGGGAGAAGCAGGTTCCCCGCCGAGCAAGGAGCCCGATGTGGGACTCGATCCCAGGACGCTAGGATCATGACCTGAGCCTAAGGCAGCTGCTTAACCAACTGAGCCACCCAGGCGTCCCTAAAGTCCCTTCTTTTTGAAAGTAAGTGGCTTGCTGGTAGGAGCTGAGGTCTCATTTCTCTAGGTTTGTGGCTCTGTTAAGAGGAAGTGTGGACGTGGACACTCCTCTGAGTCCCCTGACTCCTCCCGTGAGACTGAAGGACTTCTTCTCCCGGCTGATGGGGTGCTGGCGGCAGAAGGCGCTCTGCCACCTGCCCTCCTCAGAACTGAGAACTCTGGGGAAGAGTGCTGCCTTGACCGAGGCCTGGTCCCTTTCCTGGGTGGTGTTCCAACTAGTTGATGCAGCCATATAAAACCTGGCCTTCTTGCTTGGACTGGGGACAACTCTGCAGGGTCATTTCTACTCCCAGGATTCCCATGGGGCCATCTAAGTCCTCAGCTGAGAACACAACCCGGCTAAACTCCCTTTGCCCATCCTGCTTCCCTCCCTTTCCTGGCACAGGTGTTGATCTCAAGACAAGTGCAGTCCCCGGCTCAGTGTCTGTCCATTTCCCAGCACAAACTTGACCCTGGGGGAGGAAGAGCATACGTCTTTGGTGGGCATTGGGCCCCTTGGCCACACTGATTCTACAGACCACAGCCTTGAGGCCCCTCTTAGAAATAAGGTGAGGAAGGAAAGCAGTGCCATTTTCCTCACACTGATTCAGGAAGTGGATCAAAGAACAAAGAAGACACTTGGAAGACTGGCAGGAAACACGTCTGAAATTCGGGGGAGGGCTTTGGAGGAACCACAGGAGGCAGGATGGCAGCTGCTTAGCCCACTGTTGGTCTAATCCCCTGAGCTGTCCTGTCCCTGGTACCATGGTTGCACTGTGTTAATTAAATCATTCTCATTAATTCAGCCCGAGTGTAAATTAGGAAGGAATGAAGATAAATTAGGTTTGAAGGCAGCTAATACATTTAACCCCATGCTGCTTATTTTGCAGCCTAACAAAATAACGTTGTTAAGGGAGATAACAAGGCCAAAGCCTTGGGCACAGCTTCTTAATAGCATTAAAAATGAGACCTTGGTTTGGTGTCACAAGGCAGAGGCAAAGACCAGCTCCCGGGGGCCTATGGGAATGGGTTAACACCTTGAGTCGGGTGGTGGCCACTGTACCACACAGACCCGTAGCATTTCCTGACTTGTTTACGACTGAGACATCGACTATATGGATGCTTGTCCAGCTGGGTCACAGGTCTGTCTAGAGAGGCCTCCCTGTACACATCCATGACTTGCTCACCTTCTCATCCTGTGAGGGGAGTGATAAGAATTACCTTTAGGGGACGCCTGGGTGGCTCAGTTGGTTGAGCGGCTGCCTTCGGCTCAGGTCATGATCCCGGCGTCCTGGGATCGAGTCCCGCATCGGGCTCCTTGCTCATCAGGGAGCCTGCTTCTCCCTCTGCCTCTGCCTGCCATTCTATCTGCCTGTGCTTGCTCTCTCTCCCTCTCTCTCTCTGACAAATAAATAAATAAAATCTTTAAAAAAAAAAAAAAGAATTACCTTTAGGCTTGCCTGAGAGATGCTGGGGTAATAACAGTTTGAGTTACTGGGATCAGAAATAGGCTAACTTGCAAATCACTTTCAGCTGTGAAATAAACATTAGAAACCGCACACAGGCCTGTGGTTCAAGCGGACCAGTGTGGTTTGTAGGAGGTCACTGCAAGCACACACATTTTCCCCAAAATGCAAGTTTAGTTCCTCTATCTCTCAGTAGGAAAATGCTTTCCACTTTTATACCCTCCGGAAGCTCATTTTCCCCCCTGCCTCATGTTGCTTATCTCCCTGAGGCAGATGAAGCCAATGTCTGCGGTCACTGAATGCAATTCAAGATTTCCCAAAGCTACAGCTTTTTTTTGGTCCTCTTTCTTGAAGCGCAGAAAGACGGCAACATTAGGTAGAACAGACGAGGAGAATGGCAAAAGCCAATGTCCAGAGGACCCCCCTGTCCCTTAGCAGAGTCCCCAGCAAGGAGAAACAAACGTTATGGTCGCCAGGGTTAAGGACGCTGCAGTTTCCAGGTGATGAAGACGCAACAGAACCAGATTGCCTGTTCCTAACTCAGCGGCTTCCTATGACAAAATCCCGAGCCAACCAACTGAGCTGTGCACATGTTTTATTTCTCGGAATCATCTACCTACAGTTCCACGTAGATTTGCTAGGTGACGAAGTAAGAAAGAACTACTTCTCCTTAGTGAGAAAACGTGTTGATCTCTTCGTTTAAACAGAGCATTTCCCCCAGAGGAAGACACTGGCATCTAGTCTTCCAAAGCACTGGGGTTAGTTTGAGCCCACAACACCAACAAAGCCCTTCTAGGAGGCCCTGCCCTGATGGGCTTCCTCCCCACCTTGCCATAGGCTACAGAAACAGGCTTTTTTTAAAAGACAGATGTGCCCTAGCTCCACATTCCCACCTCCCTTCTTTTCAGCACCCATCTCTGGAGTCTACAGCGCTTGCTCTACCTTTTCTCCTCTTGGCTCGTTTTATCCACACCTCCTTCAGGAAGGGGGTGGACTTGCCCAGCTCCTCTCTTCACCTGGCCAATCCCCAGATTCGCTGCACGTGATTCTCACCGTGAACCGATCCAACTGTCTCTGGCTTGTTAATCAGTCTGGGGCTAAGAGTTTGCATCAAAAATTAAAATACGAAACAGATTTGTAAAGGCTCACGGTGAGGCTGACGAGTTAATGCTAACAAAGGACTTCAGAGGGCACTGTCTTTCTTTGCTTTCAAGGAGCGAAATTTCTCAGCGCATACCAGGAGGGAAGGCGGGGGGGGGGAGGGGGGGAAGTGAGCTTAGAATAAAGAAGAGTCTTGGCAGTGTCTGGACACGGGGAGCGCTAGGTGGAGGCTCTTCAGCCTGTTTGAAGCATTTATCCATCTAGTGTTTAGAGGAAAGCTAGGAGGTGGGAGAGTTGGGGCAGGGAGAAAACTCTTCGGTGGATCCCTACTTGAGTTGCTTGCAGGACAGAGCCTCTGCTAAGGGGCCCTGTGACAATTCACAACTCCCTGGGCCTCAGTTTCCTAACCTGCAAAAGGAGATGGCTGGTGGGGCAGGGGGTGATCTCTACCGTTCCTTCATAGATTTTATTCCAAATATCTAATACAAACCAAACAGGCGTTTTAGGTCCCAGAGGAGATATAGCTTTCAGTGCAAAGATCAAAAATGGCTTTGGTCAAGAGTGATCGCCATGCGAGATGATTTTTCGGATCGCCCTTTTTTCCCCTGGCACGCGGCGCTTCAGACCCATGTGCTGGGCCATTTCTTTGCCGAACTCCAAACTCACACGACAGACCGATAAAGACAGGAAGGGCCCAGTCCAGAGGACTACTGAGCTCTGTCGCTAGGGAGAGGGGGCGGCGGGGCCGCTCCTTTGAGGAGCTCGCTTTGAATCAAGCGCCGGCCGCGATTGGCTGCGAAGCACGTGGTGTGCGCCCGCGGGACAGCGCCGCGCCGCTGCTGCTCCCGGCGCGGTGGGGCAGAGTCCGGCCGCGGGTGCCGCAGCAGCTGGGGCGGGGAGGCAGGACGCAAGGGAAACGCCAGGGGCTCGAGTCTGTCTGCCCCCGCCGGCAAGAAGTCCGAGGGCCCGGCTCTGCCCAACCCGCAATGTCCCCGCAGTGACCAAATTTGTGCCCCTGCCCTTGCCCCTCTCCTCGCTCCAGGTGTTGCGCCCAGGGCGCGTGCGGCGGACCCCCAGCTCGCCCCTCGCTCCCCTATCCTGAGCATCTGGCGGACTCCGGCATCGCGGAGCGCGCAGCCGGGCGCCTCCACTGCCAAGGGTCTCTGAGCTCCGGGGCTGTCCTTTAACCGTGCTGGGCCGGAGAGGCGCAGGCACTCGGACCTGGTCAAACTTGCTCTACTCGCGATCCCTGAGGACTGCAGCTGCTAGTGGCTTAAGCACCGTGTCCGCTTTGTCTCTCTCCACTCTCCGCCGCCCCCCCCCCCCACTTCCTCTCTCGATTAACTCCCCCGACACGCTCTTCTCCAGCTCTTCCCCGTCGCCGCCTCCTCCTCCTTCTCTTCCTCCTCCTCGGCGGGCGGCATTCAAGCGCTTCCTCCCTCCTTCCCCGGGTGTCACTCTGCATCCGCACCGTCTCCTCCCCCCTCCCCTCCCGCCGCGCCGCTTATAGCCCGGCCCGCGGTGGCTGGGCGCAGACTGCTTGGGCAGCCAGAGAGGAGGCGGCGCGGCGGCGGCGCTGCTGAGACCAAGTCCAGACGCCAGGCGGCCGCCGGCGCGCACGAGCGCTTTCTAGCTCCCTCCCCGGAGTGCCCAGCCCGCCTCCTTGCGCGGCGCCGGCGGCCAAAGGCTCGCTCTCCTTACCCGAGACGCGTTCCGGGAGACGCTCCGCGGGTCGCGAGCGGAGTCCGCGGCGTGGGGGTCGCGAGGCGCTGTCCTCTCCCCGGCGGGCGCCCCATGCGCGCTCCTTTCGCTCAGGCAGTCGCCGCCGCTCTCCGGGGCTGAGACGTCCGCCTTATCGCCTCCCGCGCGGTGACCTAGGCGAGAACGCAGCTGGTCGTGCCTGACGCCGGTCGACGCCGCCGTAAGTTTACCCCGCTGCCCCGGACCTGTTGCGGCCGCCGCGGCTTACCCCGGCCGCTCGGCCTGCGGGGGTGTGTTCGCCCCGGAGTCCGGAACTCCGACTTGGGCGGAGGTCGGGGAACTGTTCTCCGGGCGGAGACCTCGGTGGCCGCCGCTGCCCTCCCGCACCGTGCAGACGCTGGCAGTCGCCGGAGGGATCTCCTCTCGTCCGGCTCGCTGGCTCCCGGGCGAGCTTCTGGGAATCAGGGAGCCGAGCCGGGGAGGGATGAGTCTCCGTCCTCCGCCCAAAGCGGCGCTTCACTGGGGGTGGCTGTCGTTCTGCCTCGCACTTCGCAGCCCCCAAGGCCGGGCGCCCGGGATTGTCGGCCCACGTTGCACCCCACCCGGCACAGGGGCGCGCCGGAGCCCCGAGCACACACGCTTCGTGAGGGCACGCTCACGGCGGCGGAATGTCTGTGGGGAATGAATGAAAACTATGAAAAATCAGTTTCTTCTCGTGCAAGTATTTGGCCTTTAGTGTGACACTATGAGTTTCAAAGGACAGGAATGGGTGGGCGTGGTGGAGACGAACCTTGAAACTTGTTGGGCATGTAATTTCGTGTTGCCCGCACACGTATGGCCAGCGTGTTGAAGAGCGTTGCAAATGTTACAGAGGGCTGTATGGTCAGTTGGTTTTCTTGTTAACAGTGCCTTTCTAATGTCCTTCCATTGTTATCAGTAAGGTAAGTGCCCCAGAAGGTCTGCCTCGTTTCTCCGTTGAGTGCGTTGAGACCAGGTTGAAAACGTAAGATGTGACGGGACGCAAAGTATTGCAGCAGGGCTTGAGTAAGGAGCATTAAGTGAACTGAAGTTACTGTAGCGAGAAGCCCGTTTGATGTTCACGGTAATAGCAGCCCTTTCTCCGTCTTCTTCATACGCACAGGTTAAGTATACGTGTGCTTTTTTTCCCCCTTTTCTTTTCTTTTCTTTTCTTTTTTGGCTACTTACTTGGCATACAGATATTTCTGTGAGGGCTTAAAAAATGCCAGAAGGGTGATTCATTTTAGAAGGTGTGTTTAGTGACTGTATAAATGGCTTCTGCTGATATTTTGATGTTTGCATAGTTTTAAACAAGAAAGCAAGTCGTCTCCCTTGGGTCTTTAAGTTTACCTTTTATTTTAAGCAAGTACTGCTGTAGGAATGTTGGATTTTGCCTGTGACACGCTTCTCCATCTGGGTGGTAACTAAGATGACAGGCTAGCCTCTTCCTTCTGGTTTTGTGGGCCAGCCTGGAAAAATGCAGAAGCATAAACACAGGAGGCATAGGGATGCAAGTCCTATATCCTCAGGTCTTCAAAACAGTTTCCTTACATGTAAGCCTCGTTGTGAATGTTGTTTTACCCTGTGTGGCATCTAAGGCTCAGGGAAACATGTTCTGGGCCCCAGTGTGATTCCCACTCAGTGTGGAGGCGCTGTGGTGTCCTGTACCTGGTGCAGGGAGCCTCATTCTTCAGCTAGAGGTGTGTTCATTCTTCGCTTGAGAGAAGGCAGCCTTTAAGGGTGCTTTGGAAGCATTAGCTTAAAAAAAAAAAAAGAAAGCAGAACTACTCATTTGGAATGTTGTCAAGTTTCTATATAAGGTATCACAGTGTTCACAGCATCTTTTGAGGTTTAAGCATAAAACCTTCCTCAAAGTACTTCAGCATCAGGGATGCTGATCTGTGTTCTAAGCCTTTGGAGACCTGGTGCATTCACATAGGTGGAATTGGTGGTTCTCCGCAGCACTGGGCATGGTTCATGGTTCGGGTGGACTAGACTGTGTGGCTTTGCTTGAGGTAAGGGTGATGGGGGGGCACCTTACTGTTTGTCCTGTCTTCAAGTTGCTATGGACACTAAAGCTGTCTTCCTAACACCAGAGCCCTAGAACATTGTTACTTACTGTCTTCCACTAAGCCCTGTTTACGCTAGTGAAAAGTTACATTCCAAAAGAAAAAAAAACAAGTTGCATCACCTAATGCTCTGTGGCCCATGTGTCCGGGGCCCAGTTGGCACCTGCCTTTGTTGTGAGCTGTGTTGTGCCACATCTGGTCAGGAAGGGCTGCTTGGTAGCTAGCCCCGGAATCCATGGAAAATCGCTCCTTTCCGTCTATTAGCAATTACTGCACTATACACTAAAAAAATACATGTCTGAGGGGTGGAAGGAAACAAGGCAGCGGTAGGTTTCAGCTGCCTGTAAAAACTAGCTGTTCTGTGTTTTGAAACAGATACTGTAACTTACACAGTTGTTTACCCTCCTGGCCTAAACAGCTTCCTTAGGAATCCTTTGACAGGCAGGTTCTTAGAGGCTTTAGTCTTTTGAAGTAACAGAAGGATAGGGTTAACAAAGAAAAAAGAAAAGCATGTGATCCAGTTTTTGAAGATAGGTGATAGGTATGTCCTATGTTTTTAACCTGTGGTTTACTTACTGAAGAAAGCCCAAGACAGCATTAGATTTTGCTATAATTTCAAAAGTACTTTAGTCAGCAAATAAATTCCAGGGTGGCCCTAAATTTACAGCGGCTGGCAACACACACACACACACACACACACACACACACACACACGCACATATGCACATAGGTTTGAGTGCTTTTGATTTACATAAAGCAGGGTTTGCATTTTGAACTCCTTCTATGCACGTGCCAGTGTTTGCAGGTACACAAGAACCGTCCTGGTCCTGCACTGTTGAAGCGAAAGAGAGGGATGGATAGATCCTTTGTTCTTGCAACCAGTTTTCCAAGAATTGATATAAAGCAGGAAGAATAGAAAAACAGCAGTGATGAGTATGCTACTCAAAATAGTCTTCCTTTTATGTGTGCAAATCCTCGTTTTGGAAGCTGTTCAGAGCAAGAAAGATAGGTGGTGACCATGGCCAGAATCTGTTCTGTGTTTCCACAAAAGCCTGCTGATCAATATATGGTAATGTTCATACTAGTGCCCTTTGAGGACTCTGGCGTGGTAGAATTGTCTGGTTAGAAGTCATTTGTGACATTTCAGTAAAGACCTGATTATGGAAGAAGATGGCCTAAGCCTATGATTTTAAGGTTCCATTGCCCATTTACTGTGATACACAGGGAGAGTGGATCTTACAAAAGGAATTCTTAATGGAATTAATTAGTAGGTCTTTGTTTTACACATGGCTTTATGTTGCATGGGACATAAAAGCTGGTGCCCGGCCTGGCGTTACGAGAGCTGGAAGCCCGGCATTTTAAGTGGCCCACAGTGAATCAGCTGGACAAGCGCAGGGAGCTGTGAGAGTGAGACCTCCCTCATCTTGGGCTTCGCTGGTTGACATTCTCAAGGACTTCAATATCCTGGAAGTTGGCAGTCAGGTTTTCCAAGATGAACCTGCTTGCAAGCAGCGATTTCTTTTCTTTTCTTTTTTTTAAAACCGTGTTCAAATAGCTCAGCAGTGTTACAGTGAATGCCTTTCCTTATAGGTGCTTGTCTCTGACTTTGTATAGGCACGGCTATCCATTATTCTGAGCGGTAGGCGGCAAAGTGTTCTGTTTTCTCTGTTCACAGCGATTTGTTTGGCTTTGTTCTGCCGTTCTGAACATCAGGAGCATCACGTTCAATGGTTTGTTTTGTTTTGTTTCGGTTTCAGGAGTGGAAACAAAATGTCAGTCAGTGTGCATGAGAACCGCAAGTCCAGGGCCAGCAGTGGCTCCATTAACATCTACCTGTTTCACAAGTCTTCCTACGCTGACAGTGTCCTCACGCACTTGAACCTTTTACGCCAGCAGCGCCTCTTCACGGATGTCCTTCTCCATGCTGGGAACAGGACCTTCCCCTGTCACCGGGCAGTGTTGGCTGCATGTAGCCGCTACTTTGAAGCCATGTTCAGCGGCGGCCTGAAAGAGAGCCAGGACAGTGAGGTCAACTTCGACAACTCCATCCACCCCGAAGTTCTGGAGCTGCTGCTCGACTATGCGTACTCCTCCCGGGTCATCATCAATGAAGAAAACGCAGAATCGCTTCTGGAAGCTGGCGACATGCTGGAGTTTCAGGACATCCGGGATGCGTGCGCTGAGTTCCTGGAAAAGAATCTGCATCCCACCAACTGCCTGGGCATGCTGCTGCTCTCTGACGCGCACCAGTGCACGAAGCTGTACGAGCTGTCCTGGAGAATGTGTCTCAGCAATTTCCAGACCATCAGGAAGAACGAAGATTTCCTCCAGCTGCCCCAGGACATGGTAGTGCAACTCTTGTCCAGTGAAGAGCTGGAGACAGAAGATGAAAGGCTTGTGTACGAGTCTGCAATTAACTGGATCAGCTACGACCTGAAGAAGCGCTATTGCTACCTCCCAGAGCTGTTGCAGACAGTGAGGCTGGCTCTCCTGCCAGCCATTTATCTCATGGAGAACGTGGCCATGGAGGAACTCATTACCAAGCAGAGAAAGAGCAAGGAGATCGTGGAAGAGGCCATCAGGTGCAAACTAAAAATCCTGCAGAATGACGGCGTGGTAACCAGCCTTTGTGCCCGGCCTCGGAAGACTGGCCATGCTCTCTTCCTCTTGGGTGGGCAGACCTTCATGTGCGACAAGCTGTATCTGGTAGACCAGAAGGCCAAAGAGATCATTCCCAAGGCTGACATCCCCAGCCCAAGAAAAGAGTTCAGTGCATGTGCAATTGGCTGCAAAGTGTACATTACCGGGGGGCGGGGGTCTGAAAACGGAGTCTCAAAAGATGTCTGGGTTTATGATACCCTGCATGAAGAGTGGTCCAAAGCTGCCCCCATGCTGGTGGCCAGGTTCGGCCACGGCTCTGCTGAACTAAAGCACTGCCTGTATGTGGTTGGGGGGCACACAGCTGCAACGGGCTGTCTCCCAGCCTCCCCCTCAGTCTCCCTAAAGCAAGTAGAACACTATGACCCCACGACCAACAAATGGACCATGGTGGCCCCCCTCAGAGAAGGTGTTAGCAATGCAGCCGTGGTGAGCGCCAAGCTCAAGCTGTTTGCTTTCGGAGGTACCAGCGTCAGTCATGACAAGCTCCCTAAAGTTCAGTGTTATGATCAGTGCGAGAACAGGTGGACGGTCCCAGCCACCTGTCCCCAACCCTGGCGTTACACAGCAGCAGCGGTGCTGGGGAACCAGATTTTTATTATGGGGGGAGACACGGAGTTCTCCGCCTGCTCTGCTTACAAATTCAACAGTGAGACTTACCAGTGGACCAAGGTGGGAGATGTGACAGCCAAGCGCATGAGCTGTCACGCTGTGGCATCCGGAAACAAGCTCTATGTGGTGGGCGGGTACTTCGGCATTCAGCGCTGCAAAACTTTGGACTGTTACGACCCGACATTAGACGTGTGGAACAGCATCACCACAGTCCCATATTCGCTGATTCCTACCGCATTTGTCAGCACCTGGAAGCATCTGCCTTCTTAGACGGCAGTACCTCTTCGAGAAGGGGAGCGTGAGGTAAGAAGTCAGTGTGGCTGGAAGTAGGCGTGTCATTAAGCTACCTGTGGAGACCGAGATGTGGTCATTGTAACTCAGCCCATAGAAGTAGGTCCACAGAATCTTTAAAAGAATTTGCACCCCAGAACTGAGCACACTTGTGTTGCCCACAGCTGCAACCCCCCACCCCTCAGAAAAGCCAGCGGTTCTCAGCCTTGACTGATCCTCCTGCTCCCCTCAAGAGCTTTTCAAATTTGGCCCATCCCAGAGATTTGATTTCATTTGGTCCGGGTGGGTCCCAGGCATATCAGTATTTTTAGGAAGCTTTCTAATGATTCAGAAATCACTAGAACTGGAGATTTCCAGTGGTGGAGAACCCCTACCCGGGGTTAATAATGCCAGCTAATGTTGACGGAGCCCTCCCTGCCTGCCTGGAGCCGGGCCACATGTCTCACACGGATCATTTCATGCGATCCTGACAACAACCTCGTGAGCTATCATACTAGAGCATTTTATAGATGAAAACAACTGATGCACACAGAGGTTAAGTCAGTTGCCCAAGTCATGGGGCTTTGGAGGTGGAAGAGTTGGTCAAGAAATCAACCTGGGCACTGGAGCTTCGGGTTGAACTGCTCCTTAAGAAACCAGAGAGCCTCATATCCGTCTCAGCCCAGGAGATAATTTATTGATAATCAAATTTAGATCCCTCCAACCTTTTCTGGAATGAAGTAGGGTGTAAAAATCTGAAAGCTTAAGTTTATCCCTGGTTTGTTCCCTCCCAGATTCTTTATTGCATATTTAAAAATTTTTTTCCTTGAGGGGGAAAAAAGGCCCCTTTTTGGGCATTGACTAACCAACCTCAGAGGGAAATCAAGGTCTATCCTTGTAAAAGTTGCACCTGCATTGTATAAATTTGTCAGATGCGTGGCATGCTGAGACCTCTAGATGGCCTTCCACTGCGGCCTTTCAGAGTTAATCAGACAGGCTGACCCTATTGTCAGGGCTAACAAAAGTTGTCTTTCTGTGTCATATATCTGAGTCCATAATGGTCGCCTTGTGTACTTACGAGTATATAATACTCTTGGCTCAAATAATTAATAGGCCCACACAGTTCAGTGTTCGCGAAGCTAATGGCGCTTTGCTGCCCTTAAGCATCTTTAGTATTGGCCCCAGGAACCACTTAAGCGTTTCTGAGTGTAGCACGGGGCACGTGGAATGTGTTGGTTTGTTTTGGTTGGTAATGCATGGGCTTATTACTAATAATAAGAGAATAAAATGAAAACTCAGGCTTTGGAGGAAGTACCATGAAAACTTGCTCATTACCTAGAGACTTTGACTCTGTTTTCCTTAGTACATTTCACATTCTCGAAGAGGATTTTCAGAGGGGAAAAGGGGAAATCTAGGGGTCTTTGTGAGCTAAGCAAAGAGGGGTTTTGACACATTTGTCTTTTCTTTCCACCTTTCTTACAGCTCCTTTTCAAACACCGCTAAAGTTGGCCTCACTGTTATGATTCATCTTCCTGGTTTTTTCATTGGTTCAGTTGTCTCCTCTAGCCTCTAACAGTTAGTACAGTTCTTGGTAATAGAATGTAACCTTGGAATGAAACTCCCTCAAAGGAGCTGGAACAGTAGAAACCTCCTGTGGGGAGCGACCGGGCTGACAGCGGCCCACACCAAACTGGTTTTTGCAGCCTTGCTAGCATCTCAGTAATCCTGAGTAAACAAATGCTCTGAACGTGGTTATTTCATCTGCGATATGAGTGCCTGACTCACCTCTAAAGCAGGTTTAAAGAACCTTCTGGGCAAAAGCATCAATTAAGAGCACACTGAATTTGGTGTTAGCCCAGAACTGACTGTATTTGCATAGGAGAGCCTAAAAAATTGCCAGTGATGGTGGTGGTACCTCAGAATGGTCACTGGCAGATGGGCTGGCCCCTTTGGAGCAAGGTAAGGAAGCAGAGGCAGGAAGAGACCACGTGTGCATTCTGGTTCGAAACTGTGGACTCTGGACCGTCCTGGACTTCAGATCTGTCCTTTGTCCAATGACTGATTTAAATCTGGCTTCTCCGAGCTCAGTCCTGGTTCAGACTTGGGTGAATTGATAGACGAGGGGAGAAAGGGGGAGAAAAGTACCTTGCTCTGAGTTTTCTTTGCTCCTTCATTGGAGACCCCAGCCAGCCACGGAATTAGCTCTGTGTGTGGCAGGAAAGTGAGGCTTCTTTGATTATCATCTGCTTGTTATCTTCGTTCTTCATTGTTGGTGCCTCCTTTGGCAGCCCAGAGAATGTTGGCAAACACTTGAATTCGCCCTGTCCTGGGTGTTTGAACCTAATCGCACACTTCCGGTCCCTGGGAACCGAGCAAATAAAGTGTTAGGTCACATGGGAAACACCACCTCCCCGCCCTGGGTTCTGCCTGCCAGGGGAACACAGAGCAACGGGAATTCTACCGGCTGGCCTTCACAAAGGGTGGGGTGGTTCTGATCAAAGCCTGTCTTGTGGTTTCTGATAGGGAGCGTTTTGGTTTAAGTTTCCAGAGTTTTCTACACACAAGAGAGTGTTAAAACACTTCAGCGGGGGATAGAGTGACTTTAAAAGAGGAGCTGTGCAGGTATTGGCCCTAAGCTGCGGAACCTTCCGGGACGTCTCTTTGATCTCGAAATGTAGGTGCTAACCAAATTAATATGGTGTTAACAAGAAGTTTCCTTAAGGTCTAAAAGCTCATTCACCAGGGGGATTTTAACTGTCTCCTGCTGCTCTGTCAGTGGGTGGGAAGGACAGAAAGGAAATTACTTTTGATTACTCTCCCATTTTCATGGCGCTGTGTGGCCCCAACCTGACAGCACTTGGATCTCGGATGTGCCTATGTTTCTTCCCCTTTTTAGAGCAAAAAAAACATGAAGAGTGTACCAGTAAGAGATGGAAGGAGGCACAAAGGCAAATCCAATGAACTAGAGCTTTTAGTGCACGAGCTGTCAGGGTCCTGGGTGTGCAAGAAGAGCAGAGCCTCAAATACAGACTTCAAAGAAAGTCTGTAATTTCATTCAAGACAGAAAGTGCCCCTTAAGCCACTGCCACTGGGCAAATGTAGAAACTGGAACTTTGATACAGAGTCAAGTCACTTGATACAAGTCACTTTTATTGAGGAGGGTTAAGAGGGCAAACTATAGGGTTGTAGGAATACCATTCTCCTTAAACAGCTTAGGAAGGAATCAGAAAAGCAGGTATTACGCAGCATTCTCCACAAGCCGGCCACTGTTCTCTGTGCTTTACATATGCTAGTTTATTTAATCAGCAAAACAATGCTTTGAGCCAGTTGCTCAGAGGACCTCAGTAGGCAAACCGGGAAACTAAGGCACCAAGATACTACAATACTTGCCCCTTAAGCACCCAGCTAGGGCACGTAGAAGCAGAAATTCCAGCTTGATTCTAGTCTCTGCCCTTAACCATTTAACTGCTAAAAATCAGATACTATGTGGATCTAGAAAGACTGGAACCGTAATGCTAAATGGCATTACCTCCAAATGGTGGGTTTACGGTTAATTTTCTTTTACCTTTCTGTCCCCGCCCCCAAAATTTCTACCACATATTTTTATAATCAGAGCAAAAATAATAAATGCTGCTTTAAAATTCTGACCCTAAAATCGATCACCTTGAAGATCACTATGCTGAAGGGCCCAGGAGTAGACATATCGCACGTAGCCCTCGTTGCTCCATTCGCTAATGACCAGACTTCATAGACTAACGCCAAGTAAAAGTCACTCAGATGTATCCCTCTGCAGTCTTGTTAGCTGTCAACAATCAGTCTACTCCGTGCAATGTCACCTGGGGCTCTAGGAGGGGATGGGCAGTGTCTCAAAGGAAGAGTGAATATCCCCCTGTAACAGTTCCGAATGGAGTTCAACAGGATGCCCTGCAAAGCTTTGAACGGACACAAATTCACGTTCACACATGACTTTCTATAAAAGTCATAATACAGGGGCATCTGGGTGGCTCAGTCGGTTGAGTGACTGATTCTTGGTTTCGGCTCAGGTCACGATCTCAGGGTGGTGGGATGGAGCCCGGCTCAGCGTGGAGGCTGCTGCTAGAGCATCTCTCCCTCTGCCCCTTCCCCAACGTGCAGGTGCTTGCATATGTGCACCCATGCTTATTTGCTCGCTCGCTCTCTCTAATAAATAATTAGATCTTTAAAAAATAAAAAAGGCATAACACATAAGTCCACTATCTATAGATCAGCCATGAACAATTGGAATTTGAAATTAAAAAGTAATACTATAGTCCAACATAATTCACAAAATACGTGTAACACACATATGCCGGATGTAGGAAGCAAATGAAATTTTAAAATATGACCCTGTCAATTTGGATACGATTTTATTAATATTCTCAAGGTTTATCATAACAAATGTTTAACACAAATACGGTTGAAAAGACATAAATGCAGAGGCAGCAAATCAAAATTTAGGAAACTATCAGTTCAGACTTCTTGTTTGTTCCCAGAGAAAAACAACTGTTAGCTTTTCATACAGACTACCTTACTCTTTATTTTTCCTTGTCTTTTTAATAAGTAGCCAGACTTTTTAAAGTCCCTTCTTTTTTTTTTTTTTTAAAGATTTTATTTATTTGTCAGAGAGAGAGGGAGAGAGAGCGAGCACAGGCAGACAGAATGGCAGGCAGAGGCAGAGGGAGAAGCAGGTTCCCCGCCGAGCAAGGAGCCCGATGTGGGACTCGATCCCAGGACGCTAGGATCATGACCTGAGCCTAAGGCAGCTGCTTAACCAACTGAGCCACCCAGGCGTCCCTAAAGTCCCTTCTTTTTGAAAGTAAGTGGCTTGCTGGTAGGAGCTGAGGTCTCATTTCTCTAGGTTTGTGGCTCTGTTAAGAGGAAGTGTGGACGTGGACACTCCTCTGAGTCCCCTGACTCCTCCCGTGAGACTGAAGGACTTCTTCTCCCGGCTGATGGGGTGCTGGCGGCAGAAGGCGCTCTGCCACCTGCCCTCCTCAGAACTGAGAACTCTGGGGAAGAGTGCTGCCTTGACCGAGGCCTGGTCCCTTTCCTG